AGGGTTGGCATGCGCCCGCCGGGCCGTCGCGGCCGCAGAGCAGGCACAGCAGCGAGTAGGTGACATCGGAACGGCCGCCGGAGTCCGCAGGCGGCAGCCAGCGCAGCCGCAGCGCCAGGGGGGAGCGGCTCAAGCTGTACTGCAGGTCCCGTGGAGCGGACGGTGGCCCTGCGACATGGGGTGGCGCTGAGTGTGGCCGGGAGGGGTCGCGAGCGCGCGGGGCATGGGGACTCGGGGCGCGGGTATCCGCATAGGTAACAGTATGGGAGCCGGTAGCCCTTGATGGGGACGTGAGGGAGCATCCAGGAACTGAGACAAGGAGGTGGTACTATTGAAGGGAATGGGATGGGGACATGGTCACCGGGAACAGAGGGCATGAAAAAGAGGAGGGACGTCCCAGACAGGCCCAGAGAGAGGCTAGGGGTGTGGAGAGATGGCCACCCACAGAGGCCATCTCCATCCTTCTGGGTTCCCCCAAGTCCGGGTGCCCAGACCCATCCCAGGCTTCCGTTTTGCCCTGCCAGTCAAATTCCCAATGCCCAGTTTTACCTCCCTCCCCACTGCCTGCCAGGAGGGGCACTCACGGGTGCAGGAAGCTGAGGGCGGGTCAGTGGGCGAGCGAGCGTAGGTATCCTGGCACACGCAGAATGTAGAGGCCTTCTCCAGAGCCAGGCTGTGCTCCGGGCATGGTGAGCAGAGGGGCCGTCTTGGGGACACTTTGAAAAACCCTGGGGGACAGGCTGTGGGAAAGGGCTGGTGAGGAGTCTCCTCCCTAATCATACCCCACCCTGTATTCCTGTTTTTCCTGGATTAACGTGGGGAGAGTGGGGTGACAGCTCTTAGCCCAGTCTCACCTGGCCCTTGACAAATGCTGGATGTTCAGGGGACGGTGACATGAGTCACTTCTGTTAATACATTTGACTTCATCTCCATGGTTAAAAAGGGAAAAGTGAGGCTGGGAGAGGTTAAGATGCCCAATGCCCCGAGGTGAGTGGGTTTCCTACCCCAGCCTACCCTCTTTCAAAGCCCCGACAACACGGCCCTAAGGTGCAGCCTAATGTGAACAAGAGAAAAGAAGGGTGCAGCCTTCAAGGACTGGTCCCTGTTACTCGGGGATGGATACACACTCCCATTTAGACAGACAGGCAGGCAGGTGGGCAGCCACACACGCGCGTGCGCACACACGTACACACATGTACACACACGCACACACACGCACACACACACACACACACACACACACACCAAAAGTTCATTCTCCTACCACCATCCCCACTGTGCTCAGTAAGAGCATAAACATTTTCCAGCTCACACAGTGGACTCCAGTGTGGAAGCAGAGCTGGGCAGGTGGAGGGGTGGAGCTGGCAGAATGCTCCAGTGGCTTCTTAGTTCTAATGCGACACCACTCAGGAGCCTCGCTGCTCTGGCCTTCGCTCACCTAACCCAGAGCACAGCTCCTAAGACCAGACTGCAGCCTAACCAGGTCCACAGCAGAGTTACACCACTCTGGTTTGTGGTCTTGGGCGACGCGTTGGTTAATCTTTCTGAACCTTGTGGAGACTACGACCTCAGCAAGATTATTGGAGAACTGACTGAGATAAAACCCTGATATGATCCACTTCTGTATGGATTGTTATCATAGTGATATTAACAGTGATAGTGTTTCTCCCTCTCGGGCCCCTGGAGGGAACAAGTGAGCACAAACTGGCTGGCTGATTGAGGCAGAATCTCAGCAGCCCAGGCTAGCCTCCAGCTGACGCTGTAGCTGAGGATTGACCTTGAATTGTTGTTCTTCCTGCCTTTCCTAAATGCTGAAGTTACAGGCATGACCGTACTCTGAAGACTTATTTTGTTTATTTTGTGTGTGTGTGTGTAGTGGGAGGGTGTACATGGCCCTTCGTGAACATGTAGAAGCCAGAGGTTCATGTCAAGTGTCTTTCTCTGCCTCTGTGCAGCTTCCTTTTTGAGACAGGGTCTCTCTGGGAATCAGAAGTTCATGGCCTCAACTAGTCTAGCTGTCCAGAATGCCACTGGGATTTGCTGCCCCCTTCCTGTGCCGGGGTTGCAAACAAGCTCTGCCATGCCTAGCTAGTATGTGAATGCTGGGCATCTCAACTCTGGTCTTCAGGCTGCCACAGCAGGCACTTTTACCTACTGAGACTTCTCCCCATCCCAAATGCCCATTTTAAAAAGGTCTCAGTCAGGGTTGGGGCAGTGGCTCCTGGCCCCTACTCTCTGCTGTGGGTGGTCCTCACTTGACTCTCCGGCACTTCCCTCCAGTCTGGCTGAGGGTGGAAGACTGGACCCGAGAATACAGAACATCAGCAGGGAGGAAGACTAGCCCTGGGAAAGTACTCTCTTAAGAGCTGAACCATTGCATTTTTTGAAAGGCTTAGACTCAGGAGGGTCCCATTTTGCCCAGAGTCCCATGTAGCATACATAGATGGGGAGAGGGAGCTTGGCAGTCCCTTTCCTTCGGCACAGGGGTTCTCAACCTGTGGGTCATGGCCCCTTGGGGTTCAAACTACCCTTTCACATGGGCTGCTGCAGACTATTGGGAAACACAGATATTTACATTACAATTCATAGCCGTAGCAAGGGTACAGTTATGAATTTGCGACGAAAATAATCTTGTGGCTGGGTCATCACAACACGAGGAACTGCAGCATTAGGAAGGTTGAGGACCACTGCTTTCGTGCAAAATCCAGGGCAGCTACCCCTGTGGGCCTTTGGGTGTGGTCATGGTCAAAGCCAAGACTTGAAAGTCTGGTGCGATTATTAGCTTTGCCGCTCTGGGTTGAGAACACTGGCAGTCAGATGGGAAGTGTGACCCTAGCCTGTGGACTGTGTGCTGAGATAGAGAGGTGAGGGCCTGGACAAGTGCCCACCTCAAGGCTCAGGGTGTTGGGAGGAATGCAGAGGCTCCTTGCTCTCGGTGGAAGAGGGTTAACGTCCTAGCTGTGGTCATCATGGCCCCTTCACGGGCAACTGTGGTCCTCCCTACTTGGAGAGGCATTGTCTAGAAGAGTGTTGTGTTGAAAGACAGACTCGGAAAGGGACTCTGACAGCCAGCACCTTCCTCTTTTCAATGTCACAGTCAGAAATTCAGAGGTCATCTAGCTCAACTGCCACAGCCTTGCCCTGTACCATTTTCAACAGCTTAGCTCATATACCTCATGATGGAGAAGTCTCCCTCTTCCTACCCCTTTGCTCCCAGATAGACAGCTATTCATAGGAAGAGCCCAAGTACCCTGTGTAGAGTCACATCTGGCACCCCACCAAGGGTCCCAAGTAATCTGTATAGTCTCAGGGAGCAGGCAGACCCACGAGAGACTTGGTGATAAGTTATCTTTGCAACCCTGATGTGTTCCCTAGAGGGAAGCTGAATTTCATTGATTCCTGTGGTAGCTAGAACACGACCCAGGTACCAGTGCAAACCCGGCCTCTTCTGTTCCCTTTCTAACCCTCTCCAGCAGCCCCCCACTATGTCCACTCTGAGCCTCACAGAGAGCTTCTTATCCTGACCTGTGATGTCCCACACCCTCTGCCTCCAGGCTTTTTGAGTTCTCCAAAGTCTGCTTCCAACAGCACCTCCCTTGGGAAGTTTGTCCTAGATTTTCTCCCACTCCCCCACTGCCCTGGGCAGGGGGTGATGCCATTATAAGTGACTTTTATCTGGCCTCAGCCTGGGGGTGGGGAGCACGACACAAACCAGAGATCTCTGATCCCTAAGCACCCACAGTTTCATCGTCTGTTATAAGCCAGGTGTCCTAGGCTCTAAAGATGCACCATAAAGTACACAGGAATCTGATTGTCCCCGCCCTGTCACCTCCACACTTGGCAGAGCACAGAGAGAGGTCGTGAGTTGTTAATTCCCCCCAAAATCTGGCTATGGAAATCGCAAACACCCCCTATTCTGATCCACATCTCCTTTCCTGCAGTCTGAAAGGTGGGAATGAGCCACCCTCAGTTTTAGGATAATTCGTCATCTCTGCTCTGGACCCCTGCCTTTCATCTCCCTCCCCCCCAAAGTCAACATTCCATCTGTCACCTCCCCTACTGGTCTTTGTAACCCCCTCTCTACTGCCTCTTTTCAGTGATGTCACTAGTGGGCAGAGCAGAAAAGCAGCCCATTTCCATGCAGGCATAAGGGCTCTGACTATAGACTATTTTAAAACAATCCTAAAACTGACTAAAAGTTGTCCTGCTTTTTATTAGCAACATGCGTCAGCAATTTTAACTCGCGTCGGTAATAAAACACTCCTTCCTCTTGAACAGATTGCTCCCCACACACATTTGGTATGCCACTGCCCCCCCCGCGCCCCACCCAGTAGATACACAGTGTCTCTGGTCTGCAATAAAAGTCCTCTCTTTGTTCAAACAACACGTTCATACACAAAGATCCTATCCACCCAACATCCTGCTGAAGATGCTGTCTCTTCTCCCTTCAAATCCAGGCTGCTAGTCTTTCCTAGTGACTGTGCGTGTGTGTGTGTGTGTGTGTGTATGTGTGTGTGTGTGTGTGTGTGTAAGGGAGTCTCACATAACTCAGACTGGCCTCACACTCACCATGCAGCTAAGGATGACTCTGAACATCTGATCCTCTTGTCTCTACCTCTTGAGTGTTGGGATTATAGGCATGTACTACCATGCCTGGTTTCTGTGATACTAGGCTGGAACCCAGGGCTTCGTGGATGCTAACTCAGTCACATCCCTAAGTTGGATGATGGACCAACTGCGCTATCTGGATCGCTAGACTTCTAGACTCTGGATCCTCGGGGTTCTTTGTTCTTCAGCTGATTGCAGCCTGTTCTCTCCATTGCTCCACTGAAATTATTCTTGCCAAGACCAAGTGAACTCTATCCAACCCTTGACATGTCTGAGTGCTCACCGTGCTACAGGCTGCTGTCTCCTGAATACTCAGCTCCCTGAACCACTGCGCTGTCCCCTTCTCCTCTCTACCCTTACCCCTCAGCATACCTCCTCCAATTGCTTTATTTTTAGACAGGGTTTGTTATGTAGCCCTAACTGTCCTCGAACTCACTATGTAGACCAGGTTGTCCTGGAACTCACAGATACCTGCCTTCCTCTGCCACCCAATTGCTGGGATTAAAGCAGTGGTTCTCAACCTGTAGGTCACGAACCACTTGGCAACCCTCCGTCTCTAAACATATTTACATTATGATTCATAACAGTTTCAAGATTACAGTTGTGAAGTAGCAATGAAAATAATTTTATGGTTGGGGTCACCACACTATGAGGAACTGTATTAAAGGGGCGCAGCATCAGGAAGGTTGAGAGCCACTGGCCTAAAGGCATGAGCCAAAATCACTTTTAGAAAACTCATTTTTGCTGAGTATAGGTTACATAACAAGGGTTTTTGCCTGTTGAGTCACCTTGCCTCTTAGGGTCTTTTTCTTTGTTTCTTTTTGAGATTGGGTCTCATGTAGCCTAGGCTAGCATCAGATTCACTATGTAGGTGAGAATGGCCTTAAAGCCTGTTCTCCCTGCCTCCAGGTTCTGAGATAACAGGCTCTCAGCAACCATCCCGCCTCCCATCACTTCCGTCTTCATCACTCAAGGACAGCTGCTTCCACTTCAGTTCAGAACTCGCAGTCTCTCTCCTGGACCATTGTGTTACCTTCCTTCCTCCCTCCCTCTGTCCTCCAACGCTTCCCACCCCGATCCTTTCTTTGCTAGTGGCAGCTTGAGTGGTCTTTTGAAAAAATAAATCTGAAGATGTCGGCTTCCCTCCTCATAAAGTCTTTATCTCACCCTTCACTCAGGGCCCTGCCCCTCTCCCAGCTCACTCCTCGTACGCCCACATGCCCTCTGCATTAACCACACTAGATTACTTATTTAGTACCAACCACTTTGTTCCTTCCTGTCACCATGCCTCTGCAGAATGTCTCAGCCACCAGGAAGAAAAACCTCCCTTCCTTTGGGAAACTCTCCCCGTCCTCGGAACTGGGCTCTCTGTGGACATGTCACAACTACAGTCTGGTGGCTTAGCATTGACTGACACCTAGGAGACAGAGTTCTAGGCACATCTCTAGCATAAGGTTAGCCTCTGAGAATGTCTGTGAGGGATTGTCTTGACTGAGTTAATTGAAGAAGAAAGAAAAAAAAACCCATCTTTGTTTGTTTTTGAGACAGTGTCTGTTTACAAAGCCCTGGCTATCCTGGAACTCACTAAGTAGACCAGGCTGACCTTGAACTCACAGAGATCTTCCTGCCTCTGCCTCTCAAGTATTAAGGGCCCATTGGAGCTGTGGGTGGCACTGTTTCCCGAGCAGGTGTCCTGGATTATATAGGATGGAGAGAGACAGCAAAGCAGCAGCAGGCAGGTAACAGTTCACTGGGCTCTGCTCTTGCCTGTGTATATAAAGTGGCCAGTTCTCTCAGGACCCTGCCTCTGTGGCTTCCTCACCATGATAGAATGTAACATAGACACATAAGCCGAATAAACTCTTTCTCCCTTAAGTTATTTCTGTCAGGCTATTCTGTCATAGCAGCAGAAAGGAAACTAAGACACACTATCCCCCAATGCATCTCCACTGAGCACCTACCACAACCTGTCCTACAATAGACCCTGGGACTGCTGAGGCTACTGCTGATCTCAGAAACACACGCATATACACAGCGATCTTAGCACAGACATAGAGGACTCCGTGAGAACAGGATGCTTGGGGGAGCTCGGGTTCTTGCCCCTTTCATGTTAACCACAGTTTCCCAGAGAATGGGAGGTTGTGTTCATCCACACACATAAGAACTGTGCGATGCAGCCAGTATCCTCCGCTCACATGAGTGGGTGATGGAGTGAGTAGGAGAACACGTGTCCTGGTTAGCTGTAACTATCAGAGCCGAGCATCATGCGAGTCTCAACTAAGGATTTCTCAGATCGGGGTGGCCTGTGGGACATCTGTGAGGGACTGTCTTGATGTAGGAGGACCCAGTCCACTGTGGGAGGCATCCTTCCTTGGTCAGACTGTCCTGGGCTGTATAAAAACCTAGCCAAACATTTGAACCAGAAAGCAGTCTTCCTCCGTGGCTTTTGCTTTGCGTTCCTTCCCTGACGTTCCTCAGTGATGGACTGTGACCTGTAAACCAAAACCCTTTTTTCCCTTGGGTCGTTTTTGGTCAATGCAACAGGTGAAATGGCAACACCAAGCTTGGTCACCTCCTCTGTCACCTACCATTCTGTAGCCCTGTGTAGCACACGATGCTTTCTTCTTCAATGTTATTTTAACTTATATGTATGGGTTTTTGACTGCATACCACATACGTGCCTGGAAGAAGAGGGTGTCAGATCCCCTGGCACTGGAGTTTCAGGTGGTTTTGAACTACCATGTGGGTGCTGGGAATTGAAGTTGGGTCCTCTGCAAGAACAGCAAGTGCTCTTAACTCCTGAGCCATCTTTCCAGCTCCATATATCTCTTTCTTATGACTTAAAAAAATGAATTTTTGCCCCTTTGCATCTAGATGTGAGCTTGTGTCTGACCCGTTTCTATTGCCCCGACATGCAGAGAAAAGCCTGCTTTAGGAAGTCCATCCTTTGGTGATGAGATGGCTCAGCGTGAATGGGCAATTGCTGTCCAGCTTGACCACTGAAGTTCAATACCAGAACCCATGGTGGAAGGATAGAGCTAATTCTATTGGGTTTTCCTCTGGCTTCTGCTTGTACTTCATGCATGTACATGTGCGTGCTCTCTCTCTCTCTCTCTCTCTCTCTCTCTCTCTCTCTCTCTCTCGCATGCACGCACGCACGCGCACACACATACACACACACACACACACACACACACACACACACGCACACACAGAGGAGGGGGAATACATCCTTCGAACTTTCTGACTAAATGTACACATTCCAGATCCCACCCTATCCTGCCGCTTCGAACTCACAGACCCAGAGGCCCAGAAAACACCCCCAGTGACACAACAGATCTATTTCAGAAAACCGAGTGGGATCCTAGGAGCCATCTTGTGCAAGTTGCCACCCTTGATCTCTGAGATGCACCCGACAACCTGGTTTGAATGTGGTCAAAGATGAAGTCCCTATAATGCTAACCTGAGGTTTGAACATGAAGGAGGCATGGTAGAGCAATAGGTTCCCAGAGCTGAGCAAACCTGAATTCCAATCCTGACTGCCCATTCTCCAACTTTACAACTGAGGCAGGTATGCATCTCTTTGGTGATGGGAACCTAGCATATCGACTGGAATACAGAGCTCTGCGTTTTTATTTTTGTTTGCCTGTTTTTTTGTTTTATTTAGTTTAAGACAGCATCTTACTATGTGTCTGGCCTCGAATTCATGCTCTTCCTGACTCAGCATCTGAGAGCTGGGCTTTACCACCTGTCCTAATATATCCTTATATGCGGTCAGATTCACCTCTTCCAGTCGGTCTTGGCTAAGCCCACTAGAAACCGCACAAAAGGTCTTGACTCCCAGCTCCTCCTATGGCTTCTCCACTTCCACTCCTGCCTCTTCAGAGAGGGCACACTCTTTCCTGCCACCTGCATGCTATGTCCCCACCCCATCCCTCCAGGTGCCCTGGATACCTTCACAGATGTCACCGCGTTCCTGAAATCCTGCACTGCAGCTGCAACGACCCACGGGCACCAGCCACTCGCCGTCGGCGCCACAGTGCATGCGGGGAGGACTGCCAGGCTCTCCTTCTGAGTGGGACACGCACGTTCCAGTCACTTCCACCAGAGTGGAGAAGGCACTCTCAGCTGCTGTGGCGGGAAAGGCCGCCAGGCCCCGCACTGTGGCACGGCACTGCTTGTAGTAGACACGTACCGAGACCAGCGCCACACATGCACCCACATCCTGGAAGGCTAGGTGGAAACCCTGCCGGCTGAGGGGGCCAATCTCACGCACCTCTGTGTTCAGCTTCATCTTGCGTTCCCCCAAGTCGCCCTGCGTGAAGCTCTCATCAGCGGCGATAGTGTCTATCTTGTGGGGCCGGTTGCCTCCTAGGCGGGGACGCCCACGTCCCAGGTCGGCCTCAGTTTCCAGGTAGTAAGCGTTGAAAGTCTCTTTGCAGGTGCCTGCGGCGCCAGGGATGCTGCTGCAATCCCGCAGCGTGAACTGCAGTTCCACGAAGATGCGTTGTCCACGGCCGCGGCTAATCCAACCCGTCTGCAACCAGTTGTCCTGGTTGGGCTCCAGCACGTTGCAAACTTGGTATGTCCGGATGGGACGGTCATGTTCGTCCACGCCACTAATCTCCTCCCACTGAGGCAACAGCACAGAGGTGGACACCTTAGAGCCCGGAGCTTTAGCACTGGCCTGTCTCCACCTTCTTCACTTCCCTTCCCGCCCCCTACCATACAAGCCCCTAAATATGACAAAACGCGGGAAGAGGAGACATTTTGGAAAGGAACAAGTCAAATACATTTTCTTCCCAGTACTGGGGATTGAAGCTAGGTCTTGGGCTTGCTGGGCAAACACTCTACCACAGACCTCTTTCTCTTTTTGTTTTGATATTGCATCTAAGTAGTCCAAGTTGGCTTTGAACTCACTCTGTTGTTTAGCTAGCTAGGCTTACAGGCTTGTGGCATGAAGCCATTTCCAGTCTTTTTCATTTTCCCTTTTCTTTTCCTTCCTTCCTTCCTTCCTTCCTTCCTTCCTTTCTTTCTTTTCTTCCTTTCTTTCTTCCTTCCTTCCTTCCTTCCTCCCTCCCTCCTCCCCTTCCTCCCTCCCCCTCCCTCCCTTCCTCTCTCTCCATCTCTCTCTCTCTCTCTCTCTCTCTCTCTCTCTCTCTCTCTCTCTCTCAACAAGATCTCATTCCATAGCCTAGGCTAGCCTTAATCTCTTAATTACATATCCTAGGCTAGCCTCAAACTTACATCAGTTTTTCTCCCTCAGTCCCAGAGTGCTAGTCTTACAGACATAGACTATCACACCCGACTTTCTCTTTTCTTTTTAAAATATGCAGCACTTTGTGGATTTACGTGTTGTCCTTGCAGACCGCACTGATCTTCCCTACATCATCCTAATTTAACACCTGTGCTGAAAACCAGCATGATCTTTATTTTATTTATATATTTATTTTGTTTTGTTTTTGAGACAGGGTTTCTCTGTGTATTCCTGGCTGTGCTGGAACTCACTCTGTAGACCAAGCTGGCTTTGAACTCATAGAGATCTGCCTGCCTCTACCTTCCAAATACTGGGATTAAAGGTATGTGTCTCCACCACCTGGCCAAAATATTTATTTATTTATTTATTTATTTATTTATTTGGGCTTTTTGGTTTTTTGAGACAGGGCTTCTCTGTGTAACATCCCTAGCTGTCCTGGAACTTACTCTGTAAGAGATCTGCCTGCCTCTACCTTCCAAATACTGGGATTAAAAGTATGTGTCTCCACCACCTGGTCAAAATATTTATTTATTTGTTTGCTTATTTATTTATTTATTTGGGCTTTTTGGTTTTTTTGAGGCAGGGTTTCTCTGTGTAACGGCCCTAGCTGTCCTGGAACTCACTCTGTAGACCAGACTGGCCTCGAGCTCACAGATATCTGCCTGTGATCACACCTAAAGGTGTGCGCCCGGCTACAATCTTTATTTCTGTGGATGGGGAAGCTGAGGTTGCAGAGGGAGAGCCACTTGGCTGCATGGGCACTGTGAGTTAAGGACTACCTGAAGTCACTAAACTGTGCTCAGTGACCTTTCTACCTCACTCCACCCCCACCTTGCTTAATCTGTCAATAATCGACAGCTACCAGGAGCCTACTGTGTGTGAGACAATGCCCAGCATTTTCCCATCCAGCCCACACTGCTGTCCTTAGACACAGCTAGTTCTCTCTTTTATTTACCTCACTGACCAACTGAAGCCTTAGTGTTTTCTAGTAGAGCAGCCCTGGCTTGATACCAAGGGTTCTGGAGAATACAAACTCTGTGGCATATCTTTAAAAATTCTTTCATGGGGCCAGGCAGTGGTAGCACACACCTTTAGTCCCAGCACTCAAGAGGCGGGGGCAAGAGAATCTCTAGGAGTTCAAGGACAGCCTAGTCTACAGAGGGAGTTCCGGGACAGACAGTGCTGCACAGAGAAACCCTGTGTTGAAAAACAGAACAAAACAAAAATTCTTTAATGGGGCAGCTGAGATGCCTTAGTGGGTAAAGACACTTGCCATCAAGTCTGACCTGAGTTTGATCCCCAGGACCTACATGGTGTGTGGAGAGAATGGACTCCGACTGGTGGTCCTGATCTCCATGTGCACACACCGTGGCACCAACACATATACACACATACATAAACACAATAGATAGATAGATAGATGACAATTTTTAAATTCCTTTACAATTTCCTAATATATAATGTACTTTAGCTGTATCTCCCCTATTATTCTCTCTTATCTCCTTCCCCCCACCAAACCACTTCTTCCCAGCAAGCCACCCTCCTACTCACATATCTTTGTGTGTGTGGCCCACTGCATTTAACTAAGGTTGCCTGCCTGAGCGTGGGTGGGAGTTTCTGTGGTACATTTTGATCCTAGGTGAATGCAGGGTGCTAAAGGGACTGGCTGAGTCTTGGCCTACAGGAGGACCTGGGATGGAGCGACAGTTCAACACCTACCCCGTTACTCTTGGCCTACAGGAGGACCCTTGGGATGGAACAACAGTTCAACACCTACCCCGTTACTCGGCAGTGCAGTCCAACCCAGTTCAGCCTGGGAAGCTTTGGAGTCCAGGAGGATGACTAAGGAGAGGGGAGAATGGATGTCAGAAAGCCACACTGTTAGATGAGGAGAGTGGAGTGATTGCTGGGTCTACCACAGATTGCCACGGGAGGGGATGGGGAGCAGAGCACACCTCCAGAAGACTAGAGAGGGCAGCCGCGGTGATGAACGAAGGTACCTGTATTCATTCCCTGAGGCTTGTGACAAATGACCACAAACCCAATGGCTTATGCCCTCTCTCCCCCCTTCAGTGTCTGACCTCAACCTCTGCTTCTATGACCATGCTGCCTTCTCCTCTGGCTCCGATTCTCGTTGCACTCATATGAGGGCCATTGTGATCTCTTCATGTCAAAATTCCCACTCCCATCTCCAGTCCTTTTTACCACTTAAAGTGACATTAACAAGTTCTGGGGATTAGGACCTGGCCTTTTTTGTTGTTGTTGTTGTTGTTGTTGTTGTTGTTGTTGAGGTGAATGTCATTCTCAGCCTTCCACAGAGTCCATGGCAAATACTCTAAGGTCAGCTTTCACATTAGGGACAGAAGTCCGTGACCCTCTTCACCCTCCCCAAGTTCCCCCAAATTATATCTAGCTGTCAACTAGCAGGATGAAACTGTCAACTAGCAGTGGATCTTGGATTTCCTGGGTGCACCCCAAATCCACTCAGATCCAAGGTCAGTTCACCAGTCATGGAGGAGACCAAAACCTTTTTCATTTGCATCCCGGGACTTCGGGTGAAAATGAAGTGGAGAGACCACTTAGCAAGAGAAACATCAGAAATCTTTGCTTCTCTACCTAGTCCTTTCCCCAGGGGCTGCTGCCACCTCTACAGCGTTTGAAAGAATGTCATGGACCCATTCACACATCATCCATGGCCCTCTCCACCCCCTCCTCATCAGAAAAGCTTGGAGTCACTTTATTCCCTCAGGATGTGACAGGTTGGCAGCCTGCATCCTTTCATGGGTTGGGCTCAGAGAAGCCCGGGTCTGGATAGCCGAACCCTCTGCTTAAACATAGGAAGCCAGGTCATCCCCAAACCTCAGAAAAAATACTTCCCTAGATTGCTAAGAAAGGGGGTGGGTTTCCAAGGTGGGCTCCTCCAAGAGGGACTGGTTCTAGAGGTAGTCGCGACGGTGGGCAGGGCCGCCGACAGGGCGCTGGGTTTTCATCACCAGCAGTGTTTGGGAATTGCGTACTGGAGGCAGGCATCTGCCATCCCGCGCCAGGACAGACCCTGAGGGCAGAGTCTGCTCCAGGATCTCAGGGTTCTGCACCTGGTTGTGACGCCTCTGGATTCAACTGAGCGTACAGCCCCCAGAGGTGTGGGAGCAGAGGCAAGATTCCGGTGCTAATGACAGCCCCAAATCCTCCGCAACGCGGACCGCGCGTGGTGGACTCGATCCCAATTCAGCACTGCGGACAGCTCCACAATCAGCACTTCGGGCAGCGCCCGGACTCGGCCCGGATGACTAGCAGCCAGACTCCAGCTGTCCACACCACGGTCCCCTTAGATCCCTCTATTTGTCTTCATCTCGCCTCATGCTCGGGTCTCGCCGCATCCCCTCGGTTTTCCTGCTCCCTCCATCTCCCCGCCCTTACACCTCCCACCCCCAATCATTCAGCCTGTCCGTCTCAACGGCCCCTGAACTGCCTCAGGCTCCTGTGGTCCCCCCAGTCTTTCTTCCCCAACCTTCTAGGTCTCCAGACCTAAGCTCCTCAATACCCCTCTCTTCTCTATCGCGGAACCAGCCTCCCCTCTTTCTCCAGTTCTTTCCCGCCCTGCTGCTCGCTTGATTCAAGCCCCCAAACAGAGTAGTCTCTCCAACGACTCCTTCCTCCAGTTACCTAGCCCCCCAACTCCCTAAATTTTTTTTTTTTTTTTTTTTTTTGGCATCACAGGCTCCCAGGCACAACCCACCTTACCTTCCTCGGCGGTCCCGGGCCGCCCGGGTCCCAGAAGCAGAGCGAGGCAGAGTGGCATCAGGCAGACGAACAGGCGCAGCGGGTGTGGACCGGCGCCAGTCTCCATGGTCCACAGACGGAGCTGTCAGTGCGGCGGCGGCTCAAGCCTTGCCAGCCCAGCACTGCTGAGCAGTGCCCCCAGACCCCAAGGCCGGCTGGGGGCGGAGTCTCGCTGTTCACCATCATCCATGGGGACCAATCGCTAGGCCTCACCGCGGGAGGTCCACCAATCCCGGCCAGCAGAGAATGAGGAGGTGGAGTTTCATAGGCCAGGGGCGGAACGCCCAGCTGGAGGGGGAAACCGAGGGGTCCCGCGGATCTCCAAACCGTGGGGGTAGGGCAGCCCTGAGAGCTAGCGGGGCTGCTGAAGAGCTAGACAAGCTGGCGTCGGTGGACTAGCGACCCTTAAACCTTAGCTCTCTGAATCCTGAGAAGTAGGCGCTGTGGGCGTGGTTTATGGAGAGGCGGTCCGCGGGGGAAGCGGCGACACTTGCAGCCTCTTAGCTATTCTTGGGAGCACCCTTGCTCCCAGGACTTGCAGGGGGTTTCCGAGTCTGATAGCCTGACCTGAAGCTCTAGGAAGCTCTGGTGTCTCCCAGTCCTTGGCCTCTTCCTGTGTCTGCGGCTCCCAGTGTTTCATGGTTCGATCCTTCTTCCTTTTTCTCCTGCCCTCATCACACACACACACACACACACACACACACACACACACACACACACACACACACACAGAGGCACGGATCCCGATCCTAGGAGCTGCTTGGAAAAAGAGAGTCAAGCCAGAGACAGAGTCCCACCCTACCAGCACCGCTTCCGAGGCTGGGAAACCATGTGGACGCTGAGATGGGGGCAGTGGCAGATTTTGCATGAACAATCCGCTTTCTGGGTTCTTGCTTCTGCTGTCGATACACATAGCAGCACACCCCACAACCTCTATCCACAGTCTGTTCAAAGTGGGGGTCCCCTATGAGCACCCCACTCCTCCCACCCCAGGAGAATGACGAGAAATGCAGCACCAGGCATCTGGGGTCCCTGAGAAAGAGGCGGAGCAGTCCTGGAAGAGTTCAGCCGGAGCTGAAGAAGCCGCAAGGAAACGTGGGACACGACCTCTATTTAATGAAGGTCACTTTTGTGCTAGCTGAAGGTTTAACCATGGGTGGGGGCTGGGGGCCCATAGAACGGAGGAAGCAGCTATTGAGCGTCACCATTTGAAATGAACTGGAGGAGATGAAGCGCCCCCCCCCCCACCTTGTGTCTTTTCACGGGAGGCTAGAGCCCCTCTCCCTTTAGGTGTTATAACAGCCGGAGAAGCTTGAAGTATGAGTGTGAACCTCCCATGCACTTGGCTGCGGGGTCCCAGCACCTGTACATTTTGCTTAGACACATACTCCTCACCCCTCCTAACCCTTCCTGGGCACCATACTCTATGCTGAAGAACTCATCTCTGCCATATCCCATACCTCTGGGCACTGAATGTATAGGGAATCCATGGCATCATAGATCACTGGTCATTCACAAGCTGTTCTCATATTCTATTTCTTTCCCTCCTTTCTTTCCTCTCTCCTTCCCTCCCTCCCTCCCTCGCTCTCCTCGTGTGTGTGTGTGTGTGTGTGTGTGCACGCAAAAAAAAAACTTGCTTACTACACATACAGTTGCTGGACAGTAGTAATGGAGAAGTGGGTGGAGGGTTGGTTTCCTTTGCTTCTGGGAAGAAAGATTATCAGGAAGGGCTGGGCTGAGACACTGTGGGAAACTGAAGCCCTCTGAGGAAGCAAGAGGAGGTGTGGCCTCTGTCTAGTTCCAAGAGGTAGGTGGGGTCCCTGAAATCAGACCTTCCTGAAGAAAGGCTCTTGTATCCCCCCCACCTCCCTCCTCTCTTCATTCTCCTCACGCTCAGTTGCCCCTCCCCCTCCCCCAGTGCTGGGAGATGGTATTTTTAGAAGCTGCTTAGAGACCCAGGACTCCTTTCATTTTAGAATGAGTCCCTCACTCCACTACTCTCAGCCCCCACCCCCTTCAAAGTCAGGTCCTGTCCCTTTGGCATTCAGTAAGGCGTCAGGCATGGCTTCTAACTGCAGCTCCAGAGACTTCAGCCCAAAGCTTTGGACCCTGTATACAAAAATGAAACACTACTCCCTCTGAGCCACACGGGAATCTTTCAGGAGTCAAACAGATGGAAAAGATTAGCTAGGTAAAGCTACATAGGATGCCCATAAGACACTGTAGCTATTGGGAGACTCCATTGTATGCATGTGGGGGAAGTTGCCAGAGACCTTAGGCATGGGGGTGGGTGGGAAGTAAGGAGAGCGAATTAATCCTTCTCATCCTTCCCGTGAGCAATTTTTATATATAATGCAATCAGAGCAGAGAAACCCTTGTGTTTGCAGATTTATGCAAATCAGCCAGATCTTAATAGGACTTGCTCCAAGGTAGACCCCACTTTTCCAGGAGATTGCAGAGCAGGAAACCTCTGGCGAGGAGATTCCACAGAGTTCCTTATCACTCTGTACCCCATGTCCTCCCTGAGAACAGGACTTGGACCTGAGTTTCCTTGTGCTGTGTTAGTGTTCTCAGTGGAGGAGACGACCCTCTCTGTCCAGTGAGATACTCCCCGCGTCTGTGAAACCAGGATTTCCACATTTAGAAATTTGTTCAGTAATGTGGAGATGGAAGTTATAATAAAGGTGGACCTGCATCCTGGACGACCACTCGGAATTATTTTTGGTGTTGAATCAGGTCTCAGAGTCCATCAAGGTTTCGTGCTGTGGCCTTGGAGGAAGGCCTCCCTCCCATTCAGGCTTCAGGATGAGATTTCTATTAATCAAGTCATTGTTTATAATAGCTCTCAGGGGTTAGGAGCCAGTCAGCCTACAGCCAAGGTTAGGTGCTTCTCTGAAATAGCCCAGAAAGATGGGAGGGGTTCAAAAAGGGGAGGAGAGGCAGGCTCCTCAGTTGGCAGGTTCGTCTCGGCAGGGTTTCTGTCCATGGTTCTGAACCCAGTTGGCACCCTTCAACTTTAGCCTGCCCTGGAACTTCTCTGTGGCTGCATCTTCATACTCAGGTCAGAAGTCACGTTCTACCCCTCCTGTCTAACCAAGACTCTGTGACAGGTGTCTTTAAGAGTCAAGCAACCTTCATTTCCTAGAGTAAGAAATGAGGGGCCCAGGACTCACCTGGAAAGAACTGTTTTCTTTTTAATTTTCTTAGGCTCCTTAAAGCGCGAAGGAGGGGAGGGAGGCTTCCATTATTTCTCTGTCCTCTAAGACCAGAGTAGCATGAAATCCGTATGGACTGTGAGATCCAACTCAACACCAAAAATGATTTCAAGTGGTCTTCCAGGATGCAGATCCAAATGTTTGTTTGTTTTTGCTTTTTTTCCCCCCCCCAAGATAGAGTTTCTTTGTAGCTTTGGAGCCTGTCCTGAAACTAGCTCTTGTAGACTAGGCTAGCTTCAGAACTCACAGAGACCCACCTGCCTCTGCCTCCCGAGTGCTGGGATTAAAGGCATGCGTCACCACCGCCCGGCCCAAATTTTTTTTTCTTTTTAAAGAGGTCAGTATTATGGCCAGGCAGTGGCGGCGCACATCTTTAACCCAACACTCAGGAAGCAGAGACAGGTGGATCTCTGTGAACTCAAGACCATGGTTACAGAGTGAGTTCCAGGGCAGTCTCCAAAGCTACAGAAAAACAAAAAACAAAACAACAACAACAACAACAACAACAACAACAAGTCAGTATTAGGATCTCAGTTTATTTATTTATTTTGAATTATTTTATTATTACCTTTTTAATGTGCATGAGTGTTTTTGCAGTTTATATGTCTGCGCATCATGTGTATGCCTGGTGTCCTTGGAGGTAACAAGAGGATGTTGGATTCCCTGGGACTAGAGTCACAAACAGTTGTGAGTTGCCATGTGGGTGCTGGGAATTGAGCCCGAGCCCCCTCTGCAGGAGTAGCCAGCGCTCTTAACTGCTGAGCCATCTTTCCAGGGCTGCAGATCCAAACTTTACCATAACTTCCATCTCCACACTACTGAACGGATTTCTACATGTGAAAATTCTGGTGTCACGGGTGTGGGGCATAGCTCACTGGACAGAGAAGGTCATCTCCTTCACAGAGAACACTAACATTGCACATGCAGACTCGGAACCGAGCCCTGCTCTCGGGAAGGACCTGGGGTGCAGAGCAGCAAGGAGCTTTAGTCCACAAAGGGACATCTTCACTTGTTGCTGTCCTTGCCCATCCCAGATCTCCTTTACTGGCATAACAAAGAGATTCTCATTCCCAAGATGGTTCTTTTCTGAGGTAATTGGTCCACAAGTAAAAATGAAATGGGGTTGTAAACAAAAAGAAACTTTAGACAGGGTCTCATTTAGAGCAGGCTAGCCTCCGGTTCCCTATGTCGCTGAGGACAACCCTAAGCTCTGGATAGCCCTGCTTCTGTCTCCCAAGAGTACAGGTGTGCTCCATTGCTCCCAGCTTTAGGGTCTAAGGTTAGTAGATGGTTCAACACAGTTACTCAACACCATCATTAATTAAAGTCAAAATAGGGGAGGAAAGAAAGGACGAAGGAAGATTAAGTGGCCAGAAAGGAAGAAAGACAGAATTAGGTAAAGGGTTGTAGAAAAAAAGAGAAAAAAGACAATGGGGGACAAAACCGTCTAAAAGAAAGAAATGGGCTTGAAGAGGCAAAAGTGTCATCAGGACTCAATACCTGGCCAGCTGCCAAGTGGTATCAGAAGTGACATTTACCTTTGTGAATTCATCATGGTCCAGGCTTATAAATTTGATACCACAGCATTAAGAAGGAATCTATGCGCTGGGAAACTGGGTGACGGCCGCACTCGATCAGCATCTGTCCTGCTGTCTGAGACTAGAAGCAGTACATTAATTTTTGGTGAGGAATGAAACTGCCCAGGGGTCAGCGCTGTGTAATCATAAGCCTGTCACGTGCCGTCCTATAGGAAGATGTGCACGGGGAACTGCTCTAGGTGGATGCAGCTGTGTGAATGTGAGGGAGAGGCTGGAGGCCTCCAGGATTGGATGGCATTTATCCTGATAGCCTCAAGCTCCAAATCTTGGCCGACCCCTGGTACAACGAATAGGCTGTAACAACATCTCCTTCTCTGAATAATTGTGTTTGTTTGCCTGTTTAAAACTTTATCTTTTTTATTTTATATTCATTTGTGTTTTTCCTGCATGTATGTG